TTTTTTTTTTTTTTTTTTTTCTATAATCAGAATTATCATTAATTAAAAAAACTTTATTTTATTATTATTATTATTATTAATAATTATTTTTTTTTACAATGCCGTTATGAGCAAGATTTATTTATAAATTTTTTAAAATTTTTTTTATTTAAAATAGTAAATTGTAAATGTTTGAAAATATTACTGACCGGATGGGAGGAGGTGGTGGTGGTGGTGGAGGAGGAGGAGGAGAAGAAGGAGATGATGGTATATATTTGCACAATTTGTTAAAATCGAAAATTTAAAAAAAATATATATACATATATATTACAAATAAATATCATGTATCAACTTAAAATAAAAAATAAAACTTGTAAAAGAGCATTTAAATTTAATTAAATGAAAATTTAAAAAAAAAAAAAATATTAATTAACTACTATTACTACGTTAAAAAAACATTTTTAACCACATTGGTATTTTATGTATGAAAAAAAAAACTAATTCTTACTGTAGTGTATAATAATAATAATAATTATCGAAACAATGAGATTAGTAATCATTATTATTATTCCTTTTTTTTTTTTTTTTTTTTTTTTTTCATCTCATCACCTTATTATATATATACGGGGGGTCTAAATAATGCATTGAATAAATTTTTTTTATTTTATTATTATTATTATTATTATTTTTTAATGAACTTTTTTTTTTTTTTTTTAATTTCGTCGTAAACGAAATTTAGATTTAATAAAAAATAATTTATTTGTAATAATAATTTTTTTTTTTATTACTACTCGTCAATTTGTTTATTATTTAAAAAAAAAACAGGTTGAAATAGGGGGGGGGGGCTGAATGTAAAACGATCATTTATATATATACATAATTTATAATTATCATTTTTTTTTTTTTTTTTAAATAATTATATCAATAAAAAAATTTTTTTATTTATATATTTTAAATACCTTTAAAGAGAGAGAGAGAGAAGAGAGGGTTTTTTTCTTTTTTTTTACTATAGGTTTTACTTATTTAATAAATTTTTTTTTTAAATGCTTTGATAAAGTGAAACATTTTTTGTGCCTTCAGTTAAAGAAAATTTTTTTTGTTTAATTATTATTATTATTATTATTATTATTATTATTATTATTATTATCATTTTTGACTGAAGAAGAAGTAAAAAAAAAAAAAATAATTTATTCGCTCAAGTAATTTCATATTATCGATCAATTTTTTTTAAATAAGATTTGCATGTTTTTTTTAATTATTATTATTATTATTATTATCATTATTATTATTTTTATATATTGTAAGTAATAATTTAATCAATATATATTTTTAAGTAGGTTTTTTTTTTAAAAATTATCCCATTAAAGATTGCAAAAACAACAAAAAACGAAAAAAATTTTTTTTTTTTTTTGTTTTTCCTCATATTATTATTATTATTAATTTATTTTAATTAAATTTATTCATATAATTATCTAATTAATAATAAAAAAAAAATAAAATGAATAACTTTATTATATTAATAATAATAATAATTGAATGAATGGTCCAATTAAAAAAGCAATATCTTAGATAGATAGGAAAAGAAAAGAAAATTTGAATAAAAAAGGATTTAAATGAAATAATAATAATAATAATATTAATAATAATAATGATGATGATAAATGAAAAAGTTGTTGTGTACTCCCCTCCCCTCTCATTACTTTCTGCAAAACATTTTTCACACTTTTTATTATTATTATTATTTTTTGTTATTTTAACAACAAAAAAAAATTTATAATTATCGATTTTTATATTATATATATATATAAACATTTATATTTTGATGTTTTAATAAGTGCGCATTAAATAAATAAATAATTAGGTAAATAAATAAATAAATAAAAATTGAAAAAATAATTATTATTATTATTATGTATTATGTCTGACGTGTAATAGTCTTTATTAAAAAAAAAATGGTGCGGTTTATTTATTTTTACTTTTTTTTTTTTTTTAAATATTAAATAATAATGATTGTTTTAAATAAATAGTAATAATAATTTTTAAGTATTTATTTATTATTTTTATTTATTTATTTTTCATTTCTATTCATTTGGTGTATGATACATAATTTTTTCATGTGAAAAATTTATTTTTGAAAAAATGGAATCCTTTTATTATCATTATTATTTTATTTTTAATAACAATATGTCAATTATTTGAGGCTTTTTTTTACCCTCCTTATTTATTTAATTTTAAAATTCTATAAATATTAATAATTTTCCAAAATGGCGGAAAAATTTATTATTCCTCTATATAATTCAATTTAAAAATAATTAACATTCGTTCCTTTTATTATTTTTATTTATTATTATCATTATTTATTTTTTTATAAATTCTATAAATCATTAGCGAAATGATAAAAATAATAATAATAATAATAATTACACGTTTAAACATGCTTACGTGAAATTTTTTTTTAATAAATAAATAAATAAAATTTTATCTAACCCTTAAAGTTCTTATAATTAAATTTTGTCATCAAATTTTAAAATAATAAATTTATTGTAACAAACGACAGGAATAATAATAATTATTAATACATAATATTTATTTTGATGTAAAAAAGATTGATTGATTGATTGATTATTTTTTAATCACGGTTAGAATCAAATAATTATCTTGCCAAATTAATTTAGTTTTTTTTTTTTAATTAAATAGTTTGCTTAAATAAAACAATTTTCGGATAAAAAATTAAATAAATTAAATTTATAAATATGTTCAAACTGTTGGAAAATTATTTGTTTTTATTTCAATTAAATTTTTTTTTTTTTTTGTAGCAAATAAATAAAAGATAATTTTTACTAAGGACATTGTTTCATTTTAATTTTTTTTTTTTTTTTGAGTAAATTATTTTTTTTATTAAAATCCATTTATTATTATTTATGTATCTTAAAAAAATCCGTCTATAAACATCCATTTTTCAACAGTCACCACAAATCTTTAGGCATTTTCTGTAAATAATAATAATAATAATAATAATAATAAATAAATTTCTTTTGGTGGGGGGAGTGAGTGGGCGGGAATTAAATTAAAATATATAATTTTATAAATAAATCGACTCACTTTTAAGGCCGACGCTCTTTAGGCACGACTTAAAATATACATTCAGGTATGTGAATAAATTTTTTTTTATAAAGCAGAAGCTCCGGAAATAATTTCTATTAGTTCTCTAGTTATAACTGCTTGTCTGGTTCTGTTAAATGTTAATGTCAGTTTATTTATCATTTCCGATGCATTTTTCGATGCATTGTCCATTGCAGTCATTCTCGATGATTGTTCGCTATAAATTAAATTAAATTATTTATTTAAATAATAATTGTCAAAATAATGATTTTTTTTTTTTTTTTTTTAAAAAAAAAGAAACCACTTGCCTGCACGCTCCTTCTTTCATTGAATAAAATAATAGGGCTGCTATGGAAAATTCTAAAAAAGACAAAATTGTCTCTTCTTCTTCATCTTCTTCCAATTCGTAGGTCTTAAAATTCTTTGAACCTTTTATAAGTTCTACATTATGAAAAGTAATATTATCTGTTACATATGATACAACGGAACGAAATCTATTATAAATAATTTTAGCCGTATCATATTCAAAATCGGATTCCATTATTTTTAATGCGAGTTTTGATGCATCCCTAAATGTCGGAGGAAGTCGGCCAACCTAAAAAAAAAAAAAAAATTAACGTGTCATTCTTAATTAAATTTTCCCACGTGACACTTCAATTGAACAAAAAAAAAAAAAAAAAGAAAAAAAATACTTTCTTCTTGACAAACCAATATAATATTTTTAGAGAATAATCTTTGCAGTAGAGACCTGGATTTATCGCCAACACAAACAATTTTAAAATTATCTGGAATTCCGTCATTTGATGTTCGAATTACTTTTGCAACCGAAGAATGAACAGCTCCACACAATCCTAAAAATCATTAACTATTATTTTGACTATGGTTAACGATTTTTTCCACCATTTTGAATCGATAAAGAATAATCATTTTTCTCTTTAAAATAAAAAAAATATATATATATTTACCTCTGTCTGATGTCATTGCAATGAACAATGTTTTTTTAAGTTCTTCAGTTTTTTCAATTTGTACTTTGTCATGAAATATTTTTGTACCATCTCCTAATGGTTTAACTTGTTTTAAATCTCTTTCGGCTCTGGCATATTTTGCTGCTGACACCTATTCTTAATTGAGCACAAATGCAATAATTATTTAATTAAAAATTTTCCATATAGGAATGAAGTAAAATTTTTATATATATATTATATTTATTATGATTCTCACCATTTTCATTGACTGAGTTATTTTTTGTATATTCTTAACGGATTTTAATCGAATTGAAATGGCTTTTAAAGTCGCCATTTCACGAAATTCCCCATTTTTTTTAATTTTTTTTTTGAACATTAAACTTACTTTAGGTGAAAACCTGAACATTATTTTACTTTCAAAAGTAACTGATAATTCACTTATTAAATAATATATTTATATATATATTTTTAAAACTTTTGACGGATTTTATTTTTAAAAACTGTCTGAATAATTAAGTTTTCAAAATACTTTTTGCCCTTCCATGTGCATAAATTTTAGTTTTGGTATTTTTTAGTGCAAAAAAAAAAAAAAAAAAAAAAAACAAATGACGGTTGACTTATTTTATGGTAGCAAAAATTGAATTTTAAAATGTACTTTATATTATTTATTTATTTATTTATTTTTGGATTATATTATATTTAAAATGAAAATTTATTAATTTTATTTTTTTCCTTTGGAAAGTAAATTTTGACGTATTTTATTAATTATTTAATAAAAAATAGAATATTTTATTTATTTTTTTTTTAACGATTCAATATATTTTGCCTGGAGTGATTGGTGGTTGAAAATAAATATACACATACATATAATATTTATATTTATTTAAATTAGTTAATAATTTATTTAAATAAAAACATTTAATTTAAATAAGGAATATAAAATAATAAATAGAAAATATTTTATGGAAAAATTTCGGTATTTTAAAAATAATGTTTTAAAGTGTAGTAATTTTTGAAATTTAATTTTTTTACAAAGAAATCACTTGTCAATGTTGCCAAAATTGTGAAAACAATACTGTGATAATGTATAAAAATGTTCTTATCATATTAATAATTAATTTTTTATTTAATTAAATGTAAAAAAAAAATACATGTATACAAAATTTTTAAAATGGCCAGTAAAGAAGAGCTTAAGGTAAAAAAAAAAACAAAAAATAAATTTTAAAAAGGAAAAAAAAAAAACTATAAAGTAAATTATAAATGCATTGTTATGTAAACAATTTTCTGCATCTTTCAATATTTAAGGCGTACCATTGTACTTTCTATAATTAAATATTATTGAATTATTTTAATTTAAAAAATATATGTGCAAACATAAATTCTAGCTTTCGGGACGGTTACGTTTAATCCATTTCAATCAAAAATCAAAAATGACAAATAAATAATTGTCTATAACATTCAATATGTAACAAAGTAAATCAATGTTTTTATTCTAGACTATGATTAAATGTTTTCGAATTCCCGAGCTACAGTCACTTTTAAGTTTTGCTGGTAGAAGTAAAATTGGTAAAAAACAAGAGCTACAATTGAGAGCTTTAATGTTGTTAAAATTGCAATCTGAACCAATAGCATTTAAAATAAAACAACTATACAATTTAATGCAGTAAATATTTAGAACTTGAAATATTGCTATAGTTTTTTCTATGTTTTTAAAAAGGCATTTATAACTGTTGTGCAATTAATAATAATTTCAGGAATTGCTACAATAGTAATACAATTCAATTCCCCTGTGGGGAAATATGTGTTTCTCCTTCTTCAACTGAAGATGTAAATAAAGATATTGAAAAAATACTGGAAAAGGATGATGAGGGTATAGCTATAGTCGATAATATAGATTATCAAAAATCTAGTTTACTTTACGAAAATAAACATTTTTCACCTAATAAGGTAAGAAATCATCTATTTAATGTTTTTGAATGTTAAAAAATCAAACATGGTGAATTTTTAAGTTTAAAATGTTAATCCTTGATTCACAATAGAATAATATCATAAGCCTTGCAAATGAAAGCATGTAGAAAATAATTGTACAAAACAAAAAGTTTTTTCGTTACAACATAAAGTTTAAAAATAATTTACAATATTTGTATTATTATATTTATTTTACTTGCTAAAAGCCATATTTTTTTTTTTAGTTATTATTAGATGCCACTTGCTGTTCTAATTACTCGGATATACAATTTAAACCACTTCCTTTTTATCAAGTATTGTATGAGTTATTAAAGCCAACATTTTTAGTTCCTAAAGACTGTCACATTCAACAGAAAAATTCATTTTCATTTTACTTTTCACCTGAACAAGTTGCAGAAATATGTCTTTCAACAGATTTAGAACAAAAGTACATTATTCAACTTCGATTTTGTGTGATAGATGATAGAACAAATCAACAAAGTGACACTTATCCTGCTGGTCTTATTGTATGGGTCAATGATAAATTTTGTTATGTGCAGGTAAAATTATTTAATAAAATTTAAATTGTAATTTTTATATAGATAAATATAAGACTAATTATAAAATTTCAGGAGTTATCAGGGAAAAAGAAAAAGGGAATGTATTTAAAGGAAATTTCAGTGCCAATCAATATAACATCATTCACAAAAATTGATTCCTTACAAGAAAACAAAATTGACATTCAGTGGAATATTGAAAGTAATTTAGCTTATGTGATTGCTGTATTCGTTGTACGAACTAAATCATCTCAAGATTTATTGGAGAGCTTAAAGGAAAAATCTATTTACGATGCAAATTACACTAAAAAAATGAGTGAGTCAGTTATAGTTAAATTTAAATAAGTAATAACATTCAATTATTAAAAAAAAAACAAATTTTTTTTTTGTTTGATTTTTATAGTAAAAGATAAACTATTAGAAGAAGCTGATAATGAAATAATGACAACTTCTCTTCGAATATCATTGTTGTGTCCCCTGGGAAAAACTCGATTTCAATTTCCTTGTAGAAGTACTCGCTGTCAACATCTTCAATGTTTTGATGCTTTTTTATTTTTGCTTATGAATGAAAAAAAACCTGTTTGGGTGTGTCCCATCTGTGATAGTTCTGCTGAATATGAAACACTTTGGATTGATGGGTAAAAATAATTTTAGTTTTCTGTTTTTATATCAAATTCATATTTGCTCACAAACTATTCAATATTAGTGGTTTAAATTCGATAAAAATTTTAATTAATAATTTAAATAAGGTAAATTTTCGTTGCATTGAATTTATTTATTCATTCTTACAAAAAGTTCAAAAAAAAAAAAAAAGAATGATATTTTTACTTACTGGAATTTTTAAAATAAAATTTCTTTTTTCTAGTTACTTTCTAGAAATTTTGAGTTCTAACAAGTTATCGACAAGCATAAATGAAATAGAACTTCATGATGATGGATCTTGGTCTACTGTTGTAGTAAAAAAAGAAGAAGAATTCGATAATGATGATTGTTCAGTAAGAACTTTTTGTTTTTTCTTTGTTGTAAATGTTTATTTAATTTTTATTATGAATTATTATGAGATTTCATTTCGTTTTGCAGTTGGTAAAAATTGAAACTGAGGAAGAAATTGTTGATGTTATAATCGATGGTAGCGATTCGAAAAAATCAAACCAGACAACAAAATCATCAAAGAAAAATTCAAAAGTAAAAAATCGTAAAATGGATAGAAATGATGTTTATTCAAATAGTGAAAATAGTGTAACAAGTGTTAAGAAAATCGATGAAATTGATTTGACTATTTCTGATTCTGATGATGAGCCTCTAATATGGTACAAAAATAAGCAATCAAAGCATTCTTATGGTTGGTATAAAACAGAAAAACTATGATAAATAATAATGAATGAACAATATATATATATATATATGAATTTTAATTTTAATTATATTTCAGAGAAAAGTGAAACTTCAATAAATGCAAGTTTAAATTCAACTCAAAGTTCTCCATCTATAATTAATTTGGAAGACAGCGATGCAGAGTATTTAGATATATTTGCAGTAATTTGAGGTATTACACAGTAGATTTTCATTTTCAATTCTTATTGTTAAAGTAAGAATATTTAATTAAATTTTAAATTTTACTCAGTATTATGTAGAATCTCGTATAAAAGTATATTATATATATATATATATATATATATATATATATATATATCCGGATTTTTATTAGATGAGCATTCTAGACACATAATAATAAATTATACTCATTATTAGGCATAAAAAAAAAAAAATGTACATAAGTTTAATTTGGGAAAATGAAATTTTAAACGTTATTTTATTTATTTATTGACATAATTTTAAAAAAATGTAGATTATTTAGTAAATCTTCAAAAACTAATTTTATGAAATC